TTCAGTTGTTTACTTACGCCCACGGTAAGTCACAAGGTGAACTTGAACTAATTAATATAGACGGGTCAATTTAGCTAACAGTGTGTGATATACATATTTTAGTGCGAAATTAATAGAATAATTACTCATGTCCCATAGGACAGCCAATTGATTGTCACCCAAGTATTAACTCTGTTACTAGTGACTGATCATTTGTAAACCAACACCGTGTTTGCTCTACTGTCTTGAATTTAATTTACTTTGTACATAGTCCGTGTGTTAGTACATCCATGGAAGGTACTAACGGAGTACATTCCATGGTACATCCTGGGTGAAAGATATCGTGGAGCAAGTTGATATATAGTTGTAATCAGAGCTGTAAAAACACGTCCATACGTCCCTAAAACGTTGGAACGTATGGGTTAATTATTGGAAACTATAGAGGGAGGTAGCAGATTAGAAAATGCAGATGAACCAGAGGAAAAAAGTTACAGGCAAAAATAATATAAATACACATTTGGTAGAAGACACGAAACATCATCGCGAAAGAAGTGATTGAACTCATATTATTATAATAATTTGCTCAGTTTCTACGATTTCTGATGCCGGGTTTCTAATGAACACCCTATGAGCACAAATGAGCTGGCGTGGCGCTGGCAGGTGACCCCTATAACATACAGGTTGTGGCTTTATTATAATCAACATACATACAATGCACTAGTTTCACACACAATAATGTAGTAGAATGCCAGGCATACGCCAGATGTTCACTGTATTGTCCTACATCACCTGGACTATTACCAACTGTGTCTTACAGCTTGGCGGTTAGTTCAACAATCATGCCCCCCATGGTCTATCGTTAATACATTTACGTTACTTTGATTGCCATTCTGAAATTGTGTTCTTGTTGTGTTTCATCTCATATATCAATGTCAATGTCTTAGGTACATAGATAATCTGGACTGAAATTGATAAATGTCAACACGGCGCAGTGGGTAGAAATTTGAAATAAAAATACAAGCATGAATGAATGAGATTCACTAGCGCATCATGATTGTGATATGTTAGTATGCATGGAATTCGCATAGATACAGATAGTCACATTTAGCTGAATTACATTTCTGTTAATACTACAGCTACAAATATTAGCAATTTCTGGCCAGAATAAAATGTTTGATTATCTTTATATTTTGTTGACTTTAATTAACTCCAATGGAAGACCGGAGACTCCCGCAATAAATAAATAAACAATACATACAATAAACGCACATAATTGCTTTGTCAAACTATTATCACTTTGTGGAATCATTCTAAGCCAGAGAACTGTCAAATTCCAGGATCCCGGACACCGCCCACTTCTGAATATATCGACTCATTTTAATTTGTGGTGGGTACTTCATCACAAAAAAAACTCATTAAAATAAACGAAACAATAGAGATGCATTGAATTCACAACCCGACATGGCCAAACAATGGTAGTCCAGAGAAAATTCAATTAAATCGCGTTCGTATTCACTTTAAACAATGGGCAGCCCATACACTAAATTAAGGGAAGCTGTGAACGCGTACCCATTCAAATCCGCACAGCGTTCCCAGTGAGCATTTTATTGTCAAAAGGACGCAGATCTTTATAAACAAAATAATTGATATTGTGTATGTCTGATGTCCATCGCTTGATGAAAAGTTTGTTGACCCAGCCTCAACGTCAGCATTACCTGTGTCAATTACGTCAGAATATATTTTGTCTTCGCTGGGGGTACTTTTACGATTGCAGCCACGCCCATTGATATCAAGGTAAATATTCTGATATATCGCTCAGCAGCAATCTTTATTTTTAATAACCCGGAAGGACGGTTAAAACTTCAAATAGCGTTGTCCATTTGTGTACAACAATCAAACGATGTCTTTTGACAGGTGTTAATTATTCACTTTTATGCAAATACGTCCAGGTGATCACGTGATTCTGTCGACTGTGTGAATAGAGGTGTGCTGTGGTCATAATTGATGAAGCCGTCGAAAGTAGGCCTTCGTGTTCTCCAACATTTCTAGATATCTGCAAGTTGTCATCAACAACAAAAAACATCAGTGCACGTAAGACATTTTTTGTATTATTATTCCATCGAAAACATCATCTTTTGAAGGCGCATTTAAAAAGTGGATTATTTAGACACTGTGAATTCTGAGTGACGGTTATAGTCGGCGGAAGGAGACAACGAGGCTACGCTGGTTAGTTTCAGCGTTGGGTTGGTCTCGGTCGACTTTGGCGCGATTTCCTAAAAAGTGATTGACCGTCTCTGCTTTGGACGTCCAATTTTGTGCGTTCGGCCCTCGCATGACCCCTTGATTTTTTGCGAGCCTAATAAGTAAGTATTTGGTTGGCCCAGTGTCTTGTATATTCAATGCCATGTGATTTACTTGTTGCACAGTGTTAACATTTTAGTGCGAGTGTCGAACCCATACACACCGGTAGTTCTTTTTGTTCACACAGCGGTAGGAGCGCTAGACGGGACTGCTTGATCCTACACTGCACTGCACTGTAGTTTGGATTACTGAAGTTTACGGCCGTACTACACCGTCAGCATGTTAAGGTTTATTCGCAGTAGAGGCGGCGGACATGTCAGCGCCGAAAGAGAAAAACAGAAGAAGGAATTATTCGCTTTTAATAAGGTAGGCTTGGAATGTGAAAGTAGTAGCCATTTTGGATAGTGCTTTTCAAATGAACATGCTGGACGTGCACGATTTCACCACTTATCACTGACCATGTTGTGAAATTAGCCAGTTTAAAAATTCATACCATTCCATCTACCTCTGTTACATACCATGCTCTATTTATTTAAGTGGAATTTAAGTTGTTGTTATCGAGCTTGATAAGGTTTTTTCGGCCCGTTCCGCAAATTACATGATAGCTTTACATCCCCTGCCGAGGGTTTGGGTTTGGAAAATCCGGCTTTTCAGGAGGTCACACAAAGGACTCTATTGTATAAAGCCCTCTCCATGTTCTGTAATTTATTATTCGCAGACGTGGCCAACGTACAAAATAAGCTGCATGGGCGTTGGAAATTCGCTGCCTCTCGCTCTGTGCGAGTCTTGTTTCAGAAACATCCTACCATAGCGGTAGTGAATCAGTTTCATCAAAATACCCGCTAAACCTTTTCACGCCCAATATTTGAGTCTACGACTTAAACGACTGTGGTTGCATTTGAATCAAGTCTATAATCTTCTGACAGTCGGTCACTACGTTTCAAGTCACAATCGTACAAATTATGGTGATATTGAATGAAATGGGGAAACCTCTGGGCCATGTTGTGAACGTTTGTTTATAATCGGCGTGTACTAAAACTCTGTTAATAGCTGGTATCGATTACCGGTAGGGCGGATATAGTGCCTGGTTTCCTACTGATGTACCACGACTTCTATATGGACATAATGTTAAAAGGCTTTAATTACTATCAAATAAATAAAATGAATGTTTGGTTTTTGTTCCACAGACAGTAGAGCATGGCTTCCCCAACAAACCAAGCAGCGTGTCTTTTGACCCTAAACTGAAGCTTCTGGCAGTTGGTACACACACTGGAGTCGTCAAAGTGTATCCTTTTGTTTATAAAATTAATACCGTATACTAATGCTTTGCCGGGAACTGTTGGTTTGATACATCAATATAATTCGGAGAGTTGTTTAAATTCATTGAAGGTAGGTGATTGGTTGTAATTGTATGATGAGTGTTCAGCTTTTGTCTGGCCGTGTTTGAAAATGTTTTGTCTGCTGAAATGCTTGATTTTGATTTGTATTGTTGGATACACTAGCACCAGCCACGTGTTCAAAATAACAAAGTGATGTTTAGTCCTAATTCTGTTATTTGATGCTTTTGAATTTTTTTCATACAAATTTTTTGTATGTTGATGTTGATAATTTACAAATTGGTTAAAACTATTCGTATTTATCAAACCTTTGCCCCAATCTGCTATAGTTTTTTTGTTTCTTGGATGGCATGCCTGTTCATATGAATTGTTTATTTAGATTATCCTAAGGCAGTTTACTAAGGTACTTCCTTTGTAACAACTAAATTGTTTTATTTATTGATTGCACCTGTCCAAGGTGCCATGAGTCATGCAGTTTCCTTTGAGTCACAGGATGCAAATCCTTCAAGTCATTAGTAAGAATCCTTGAACATTGTAACTGGATCAATACAGTAAACAATGTTATTTGCATAATGTTATTGTTGATATACATGCAAGTTTATGCAATTGTACAAAATTTATTTTAGGAAATTTATCTGTATTCTCTCCTCCTTCACCCTCTGTTTTTAATGGCATGATGCAAACATAGTGGACACACAAGTCTTTAGCCATCACGGCCTGCATATTGGATTTGAATGTATCCATTGGTTTGTAATCTGATTATGACCCCTGAAGTTCACAAGGGTTCACTACTCTAGTTGAAAAGCTGCCAAGTCACCTTTATATGCAGGTTGTTGACATGAATGTAGCTAGGTATAGCTGGTTTGGTCCAACTCTAAGAGTACATCTCATAAACTGGTTAAGAGTTGATTCCAACAAGTAGGGTTATATTTCATGTCTACTATCAAGTTACTAAACTGTTGCACATGGTTATGTTTGGGCCATGCCCCCACCTGGCGATTAATAATGGCATTATTCTATAATAACAACAAACCAGTTGATATCTAGATGTGTCTGTATGCATGCGTGTCTACAAGAGGCAGGGTATTTGTATGTTCATGTGTTGTAGTGCTTGTTTTGATTATGAAGATATTTACCCAGTTATCAGATTCAGAGTTATGTATTGTAACCATAAACAAATGTTTCTCCATGTGGAAGTGGTCACACCCACTTTACTGCCAAGATTGTGTACAGTGGTTGCGTTTCAGTCGTGTTTTCTCTTAGCAAACAGTATTTTTGCACTTATTATTTTTGGTTGTGACATGTGCCGGTGGGTGTATTTCTCGCAACAGCAATACTTGATAAAATAGTTGATTTTATAATATATGCAATCTTAGTCACTGATAATCATTACCTGTAGAGCTATATATTTCAAGGACTGTTTTAATGTCTTCCAGTTATCGCACTTACATTATTCAGTCACGTTTGCATGAGCTGTAGTTCAATTCTAGTTACTAAACTGCTGCAGGGAAAAGGTTAACGACGTTCATTTGCATATTAAAAAATAATTGTATCTATTAGTGAATTGTTAAATTATTAATGCCTTTTGTTGTGGCCTTTGTGCTGGTATCTTTCATTGGATGTGGTTGACTAATGATTTTGACCATCAAAATAAGGAAATAGCAATGATAAATTACAGTAATATACAAGATGGGAGTTGTTTTTGCCAATTTACTAGTATTTTGGTGCTTGCTTGATTCACCGTATTAGTATCAGTTCGGTATGGAGCAGTGATTCTTGTTGAATTTCATTACTTGATTGTGCCATGTGTAGATGCAGCTTGTTGTAAGGTAGACAAGTCAGTTGCGTCGTGTCACATGGTGGGTGGCTGTATTGGTAAAAAACCTACCTTGCATGTCACATTACTAGTTGTGGGTCTGACCACACAATCACTCTGAAAAGTCCCAAAGTCTACAGTTTAATTTATAGGGTAAATCTTGTAAATTTCAAAATAGATGGCTTTTTTTGTCTAAGCCTCTTTGGGCCTGTCTGAAAAAAAGAATCGTGGGGCCCATTCAGGGTATTTCATAACAGACAGGTAACCTCTTCAACCGTATCCTTTCTAGTCTCAATTCCTTTTGTAAAAGGAACAATACATTTGAAGCAGTCTATGCTCTGTTGATCTTTGGCTAGTTTAGACACTAGAGTTGTTAGATACAAAAAAAAAGGAAAGTCTGGCACTGCGGCCTTAAATTGACTCTGCATATTAATGCCATGTTTAGTTAACAATTTTAGCTAGGCAATAGATTTTCTGGATAGATAATTTTCACTTCCATGATAGAAGATATATTTTTGCGTACATGTCTGATAACATCTATAGATCCAGAATTTCTACTAAGTTGATACGTTATACACGTCCATGTAATTGCCTTTGTTTGAAATTATTTTTCCTATATTGGATAGCCATATGTTTTGATTCATTAAAGCAGTTTTATAAAAATTTTACAGCAAACTTGAATAAACCATATGAGATCTTTTTTTTCTCTCTCCAACCATGGGTGTGGAAGAACTGTTTACGGGTGTAATTTGACAAAGTGGTTTGGGTAAAAGACAGAATGTAAGAAGAGTAGCTTGGCTTTGAAATTTTTGTGGGCGTGTCTGGCCTGACACCATCACTTGGTTTGTCGTGGGTATTTTGTCAAAAGAACAGTATTTATCAAATTAATCAAGTGGTTCTTGGTAACTGTTGCATAATTTGTCAAATATTTGCTAACGTGGGTGTAAGCAGAAAATACCCGACTACATGCAGAGGACAGAAAGTGAAATAAATTGATAAGTTTCTATGTACTTGGTTGAATAGTGTTGATATCCTGTTGCGCATGGGTGGTTTTTCAATGAAGTGTTTTCTCTTTCCTCTTAGCCTTTTTATTCTTGTAACCCAGACATGCATAAGCAATGAACCAAGATTAATCAGTATATGAAGCGCTTGGCTTTCAGGAAAATTAAAGCCAGCCAAATTCAAAGAAACTTCCTTTTCCATGAGCCCCTGTAAAAAACAAGTTTTAAAGTCATTTCTTTCAAAAAATGTGGATGCAGCCTTGCTTTTTTCTTAGTTCGCTTTTATTTTGATTTTTCATGAAAATTAGAATTGTTTAAAATCCTGAAAATTTTTTTTATGTGCATACTAACTAAAATACACATTTATACAATTTGTGATATATGAATTTATAGGGCAATATTTTTTTGACTGATGGTTGTAAAAATTCATCAAGGGTAGGAAGGATGCTTAGATAACATCAGAGGGTGGACACAAACTACAGCTATTGTTCATTCTTTAATTTCTTTTAAAGTCTACTTGCATCCTAAAGACCAGATTATTGTAGGTTTCTTTCAAAGGTAACAAACTGAATAATGCCTTCATAATTATTCGGTACCCCCTAAAGTACCAGGATGTGACCTTTACAGGGTCATGAATATGGATAATTACCAGCATGAATTGATGTATTGTACATTTATCCGGACTTTCAAGTGATTCTAGTCTTTCACCTTGTATATATGTATGTATGCCTGCATGCCTGTAGGTGCCCTACAATGATGGCCTTCAATACTACTTTTACACATTAAGAGCTGGCCTTGACCAAGGTTAATTCCCAGCGGAATTAAAAAACATGTTCCAAACTAAATGTGATTGTGACTTGCTGTACCTGCATTCAGATGTACTTGCCTCCATTTTCATTTTGTTTCAATTTACTTGTTGTTTTTTTACTCGCATTTTACCGGTAATTTAAATTTTCATGACATTTAATCTGTTATTTTCTGAACAAGAGTTGAGACTACACACCCATGTGGCACTGACTAATGTAATCCTACTGTTTGCAGTAGGTCACTAGCTTGTAGCATCGCATTTAATAAACCTCAATTATTCTAACATTTTACAATTGAAAATCAAATAACTAGTTTTCTAGGGATGGAGTTGGTCATAGTTTTTTTATTGGAAAATTGTTTTTCCTTTTAATTACTTGGCCAACATAATTTAAACAAAATTATTCCACTGGAAAAATGCAACATTGGTTCAGTGCTTGTACCATGTCTTGATTCATTTCATATTGAATGTGCTAAATAGAATAACATGTGGGTTGCATCGTTTGGTTGTGCGTGTGTGTGTGTATATATATATGTATATATTTTGGAGTTGCTTTGTTTTCAACAATGTAACCTCTGTATTACTGAAATGCCCTTCAGACAACCTGTAACCCCCATGCTAAAATGGAGCATTCCATTTTGCTATTCAGGTGGTTGTTAACCCAGACAGTCATGTGATCAGACTGGTTATATTGACGTCACCTTTTCGTCAACTGATTATTCGTCTGAAATTTACCTTCCTTTTTAAATTCAGATTTAATTATTCCTGAAAATGAACTTTTAACCTCAAAAATCATCAGCACTAGAATTCTGAAAATTTATATTTTGAGTACATTAATTTATCTGTTAAAAGATGATGCTGTCTAAAATGAAACTGGAATTATGCCAAAGTAAATTAGTAATGTATAATAACCTAATTTGCATAATTAACACTAGTTTTGCTTCATACTGAACTAATGCTTTCTAAATAGCATATTTTTTTATCTGGAACAAGTAAATCCAAGAGTTGAAAATGGACCGAAGAAGCAATCATTTTATCATTCCAGTTGGGTAATCCATCAATTGGTGGTAAATAATTCCATGCGTTGTCATGGTGACAACCAGTAAGTATTTGACAATAAATTTTGTTGTCGGTTATTAGCATACAATTAGAAGTACGTTCTGCTGAAATAATTGACATTTGAAGACTGCAACCAATATAACCAGAGATGGATGGTGAATTATCCTAGGGCATTATTTAAATGAGCAGTTGCCATGGATACATACAATAATGTTGACATGGCAACCAGTGATGCACTTCTTCAGACAGGAGTGCGTCAGTGAATTCGCATATTGAGTGTTATACCATTCAAAATTGACAATGTAAGATTTACATAAACGTGTAAATGAATGATTATGGCAAGTTTGTCCTTGGCATGCATGTATGCAAAGTGTAGGTGAATTCAGTAATGTAATGATACCTGCAAATAAGAGTAATTTGTCTCGCATTGCAGGTTTGCATTGTTGGTACTTGTTCATTCTTGGTTTGAATTTTACTTTTAGTCTAATATTTTAATCGATTAAGGTGGTTGCTGGTCACTCTTATTTCACTTGACATTGTAAAATTCCAAGGCATGAAACTAAATTTGCGATGTTTTTCTGTAAATGTATGCAGTGCATTATGGGTCCAGGATATGTGACTAATTTACTTGCACATATTGAATGTAGGCGTGTTGGTAGGTAGATACAATCAGTTCATTGCATTTCTATCTCTGCTGTATTTGGGAGGTGGTTTTGCAGATGGATTAAATAACTTTCCTTCAATCACTAGTGGTGTATGTGCTGTGAAACACTTAAATTCACAAGTAATTGAAATCGGGAAATATTGTAGCTCTAAGTGCAAAAGATGGAAGAATTTTGGTAAATGTTGTCCTTACAGATTAAAAAATAGTGAATGTGTTGTGTCTATAACTATTATCTGCTTGCATGGGGTGGTGGGGTGTGGATGGGATATTCCTGTCAAGGAATTTGAGTTAGGTACAAAATTACACTGACTAGAACTTCCTGCATTTCAATTATTAATTTGACATAGTTTATGGGAAAAACACTTCCTGGCTTATTTTAGGGGTATTTTATTGCCATCCTTTTCTGCTGCTGCAAAAGTACACGCGAGAGATTACTAAAAATGAACTCATGAAATATTCAACAGCCGGGTTTCCTGACAAGCTGTTGTATGACTATAGTGATTAGTTTTCTGACTGAGTTTATTTAATGAAGCCTCACCAATGTAGCCAGCATTAAAGGGAGAGAGACAGATATTTTTAATTGTATGAATTCATTAAATAGATACAATAGGGGGGGGGGGGGGCATAAAAATGACAATTTATTCAAAAATGGCAAGTGTAACGTGGTATTTCCCCCAAGATAATTTCATGAATCTGCACAGTTAAAAAAAAGAACAATGTTTAATCATGAAATCGATCTGATTTAATTAAAATATTTAGTACCTAATCTAAATGGGGGGGGGGGTTTGCTTTATTTTTGTTGAACACTAAAAAGCTTCTGGAAATTAATTTGCTATTAAAGCTTTGCAAAGGTGAAATTTGAAGTCGCTTTAAAGGATCAAACTCAAATATAACCAGTAATTTCCAACGCCGTATAACTCGTAAAAAGATTTATAGAAAAACTGACAATTGCTTATGTTGAGTATATCAAGATATTCACCTGTGTTCATGTCTATACTCTCCTTGAAAACAATCATTTACTGGCACTTGCAGCTGTACAGGGTGCTCGCATGAATAATTTATCAAGGGATGTCTCATTTCACTCCCCTGTCAGTCTGTAAATTTATTTCTAATACTTGGCATCATAATAGTGTATTTGTGAGCAGTAGTCCATGCCTCTAATAATTAAATGTTATTGTAGGTGTACTCTAAAATGAATTTTCACTTTTTGCTGAAGGGTTGAATTCATAAAAATAAAATAAAGCAAAAATTTTGCAAAAATAAACTTTTTGCAAAATGGCCAAAATGACTTCACAAAAATAAAATCTAGCTAAAATAAAGTACATGTACACATTTACAATATACCAACATAGTTGACAAAATCCAGTCTAAATGACCTTTGCAAGCTTACAACTGTTTGCTTCATAGGGTGGCGTGACTAAAATGCCCTTCATATATTCTTACAAGCCATGCGAGACAGATAAATTTCACAATTTTGCAAACAATTCTCCAATTTGTCACTCAAAATTTGTGACATTGCAATATAGCAGTCAAAGTGAAGGTCAATCTACAAGATGTCTGATGCTAATAAGTGTATAGTGCCTGACGTTTCTAAAGGTACTATAAATTAGTTGCTAAGCAACACCTTTGTCAAGCTGAAAGATGAAAGCAATTGAATTAATATTTGATATGTTGTAATATCTTTGATATTTGAAATATAGTTTGTGTATTGTCCTTAACGATTGTTAATAGTTATGGTGCACCTGGTGTTGAATTTATTGGTGTGCATAAAGATGAAACCCCAGTGTCTCAGCTATTCTTTCTTCCTGATCAGGTAAGTCATTGCTAATAGATCGCCATGGCCAATATTTAGGTTTAATCCTTGACTTAAGAAAACTGTTTTCAGCATGTCAAAACTCAATTTTATTTCCGTTGAATAACACTATTCATTGGTGAATAGTAAAAAACAAAAAAAAAACCCCGAACCAGATGCTCAATGTTGTTGGCTGGGAACCCCGAACCAGATGCTCAATGTTGTTGGCTGGGTCATGTAAGGGCATGTTAGCAAACATTCTGACTGTTGGCTATAACTACAAACCCCGACCCAGATGCTCAATGTTGTTGGCTGGGTCATGTAAGGGCACGTTAGCAAACATTCTGACTGTTGGCTATAACTACAAACCATAAAAGTTTCAGATTATATCCATGAATGATATTGTTTGTAGAACACTACTCAGCTTGTGCTAAATTTGAAGTCCTATTAGACAATACCCTGCTGTGTGTGATTCGGCCTTGAAACTTTAACTGCTAAACATATTCTAGTTATACCTGGACAAGCATAATTTAAAAATCCTTGACATTTGACTAGTTAAAATCAAAGATCGTGTATGCAATGGGCGTTTCTCTTACCAGCCTAAAAAACGAGGGAAAAAATGATTACATTTTTTTTTTTCATTGTCGGTTTGACTGATCGATTCGCATTCAAATAATACATTTAGAATATAGAAATCTAAAAATAATATCTATAGACAAGAAACTCTGAATGGATTTTATTAATGCACCCGTTCTTTGCAGATTTGTTATTTAAATTTGTAGATATGAATGAATTAGAGCCCATCTTCCTACTATAAACATTTGTCCTGTTTTAATAAATTGCTATTAGTATTGTACTCGGAGATTGCAACAGTCAGGTGCTCCTTAAGTGTTAACTTGGTCCCTGGGAGACGTTTAGGATAGAGAAGGTGCCTGGTTTAATGTCTGGAAATGGGCAAATCATTGCAAAAAAGGAAACGTGTAATTGTAGAACACTAGTCGTAAATCTTAGATTTGGTATTATTGTAAGGCTACACGACCTCATTTTGCTAATGTTGAATTTCAGGGTCGTATTATCAGCCTGCTGGAGAACAACACATTGCATCTATGGGAAGTGAATATCAAAGATGGAAACTCTGTCTTAGAGGAAGTCAAGGAATTCTCTTTGGAGGGCAGGTATGAAAACACACAACTTTTACCTTTTTAATCGTGCTGCTATTTAAAGGTAGACCAAATCTGTCGTATATACCTAGGCAGTGCTAGCATCGAATGTGCGGCAGTGAGTTGTCAACTAAACAAAATTTAAAACGTGGAAAGAAATTTTGCTGCAAAATGTTGTGAATTTGTCACAAGTAACCCAGTTTTTTTTTTGGGGTCGCTTTGAAAAGAGAAATTTCTGAACACAATAGAATGGAATTCTATTTCTTGATTGTGGGTTCTTTACTCTGCCATCCTATAGATTTATGCATTAATCCATGAAATGACTCGACTACAATGAGGTATTCAATAGAAAGTATATCAGTCCAAAATGCTCAGTTTATACTTGTGCTATGAAATTTCTGAAGACTAAGTATTGCTACAATATTGATTTTTATCATTTCTTACAGATTGCAGAAAATTACAGTGTGTTGCTTGCCGTCAGACTGTCAGCATCTCTTCTTAGGAACAGAAGGTGGCAACATCTATGTTCTTGACATAGTATCGTTTGAATTATTGGAGCATATCATTTATCAAGATGTTGTTATGCAGAAGTAAGTACAATGCTATCACGTTTTTGTAATCATCTTAAATCATGGCTTAGGGTGTATAAAAGAAGAGTGACCAGTTTTGGGTATGCAAATTGCACTTCATGGTAATGTATCTCTTCCACAAAACTGATATATTAGATTATCGAAATGCATGGAGTGCTTTATTTTTCTGTTGCATACAACCATGAATATTTCACGATGTTAGTTTACTAAGAATCTCTTCATAGCAGGCAATTATGTATGCAAGACAGTTAGCATATAGGATTAACACCTCAGTAAAGTGTGGGTGGGGCCATTCCAATTGCATTTCTCTGGTTTCGTTGTTAATCCCGGGGATTTCTGAGCCTCTTTAGATGGTTAATTTATTACTGATGGATGTTTCACAACAGAACTTTTATTTCTTGATAGCTAATTTATTTAATGACATTACAGCATGCAGTGTTCTTTGTTTGTGTATAAAGGAAAGGTATCGACAGCCGAAATCGGGGTAAAATGGCATGTAGAAAACTGATACTGCGTTCCCCATTAACAGGCAACCAATCTCTAACACTCAAGTCTGCCAGCATGGAACGGGCACACCAACCATCTCTGATTGGGTCGATATTGGTCCTTGGCCAAAGTATTGCCCTCTTAATAGGTATGATGTGATTATTGGCCAAGACTACTGGTCAGTCCGTCATTTAGTTCAAGTAGTTGCCATTTTACCCCGATTCCGTATTAGTTTCATGCTATGCATCAGTGTTATTCCCATATACCATCACTAGTCGTTCTTACCTGGTAGTCTTGCATGTTAATTTATTGTATGCTTCCATTGCGCATGTACATCTTCATCTGGTTTGCTTAAAATTTGTCGCCCCATGTGTATGTAATTGAATGTTTTGAGTTTAACAGTGTTTGTGTGATCAGTGTAGAATAGAATTTGTTGTACATAGTTAGTGATAACTCCAGTTGCCTGACTAGTCAAAACTTCCTGACTATGTTTAATCAGGCTTCGTGATTCCGACTGTTCCTACAGCGTGCCTGATGACTACAAGGTGAATCCTGGTGCTGTTGAAGCTATTGCTGCTCACCCCACTGAATCAAACAAGGTATGTCAAATTAGTCATTAGTTTCATTTGTCAGAATTAAGTGGCAGCCTTTATTATCTGGATGTTTGTCAAAATGTAACTGCAGATGATTGTTTTATACTGTATTGCATCTGGCAAATCAAGAACGATTACAAAAAGTAATTTATTGCACTGACAGCATGTTGGCTCTCGATAAGTGCGCATGATTGGCATAGACAATATTCCCCAAAATCATTGAAATAATATTTGGATTTTTTAATGGTTTACAGTTTAAAAAAAAATAAAATGGGATATTTTTGTTTAATAGTTGCTGATAGGATACAACCGTGGATTGATTGTACTCTGGGATAACAAGACCTGCAATGCTGATCAGACATACGTTGGAAGCCAGCAATTGGAATCGCTTTCTTGGCATCGTAATGGCATACAGTTTATGACTGCTCACAATGACGGCAGCTATGCCATATGGAATGTAAACGATCCAACCAAACCGGAGAAAGATCCCACTATTACTTACGGTAAGTTACTGTCTCAGCTGGTGTTTACACTGAAGGTCAAAGGTCACTTATTTGTATGTGGTGTTAATTAAGCATAAAGATGTAGGTTGTAGATTTCATGTCATTAGCATATACAAATGTAATAATTGAACTAGACACAGATGGCTTCAAAGTAAATTGCTTTAAATATAAAATGACTGCTGTCAACTTTCATCTAAATCACAAAGTAAGATGCCCATGAAGACGAGTTGATATCTTCAAATATATGTACTGCAAAATTAAAACCAGTTTGAACTAACGTTTTAAAAGTTGAATCAAGGTTTTGTATATCATCAAATATGCATGCATGTGTACTTTATTTGTGATAAAATATTGTCCTAAATTTTTTGCTGGTGAAATCTTAGACTGAAGAAGATTGTGTCATTTTTCTGTGCTGAGCACCAGGCCACATCAGAGTTGGGGTGGTCGTTAGATCCCTACTTGTCATAATTACTGCCGTTATTGTGAAATAGTAGCTATCAAGTTATTAATAATTGATTGTATTAATCGTACAGGATATTGTCAAATGAAAACCAAATTATTCCAATTGCTGTTAAAATGAAATTATTTCAAATCAGTAATTGTAACAAATTGTGTAGCAATTAGACGTGAATTACTGTAGAAAGATGTCTCTCGAGAATGTCTTGTAGAAAGCAAGGATTTGTGTATTGTAACATGACCTGCATGCATATAATGAGGGGTGTGGTCACTTTGAATGGGAAGACGCTTGTTCTTTATAAGATTGAATGAAGGCATTCTCATTAATGAAATATTAGATTGTAAAATGAGGGGGAAACTATGCAAGGTCAGATGGCTTGGAAAAGTGAGAATCTGTCTGAACAGGCGAAGATGTTGGATGTTGCTAAAATAAAAACATTCTGAGAGCATGAATATTATATATTAGAAATATTAGTGTATTGCAGCAGTTAATGTGTTATATGGCAGACATTTTACTGTCTAGGTTTGACCTGTAGTCATTAAGTGGAGATGAAAGCTGTCTTATCGCGTTTATCACTAGCATCCAAAGTAAAATTAAAGATGTTCTGTGCCATGGAAGAGGGAGATTAGTTTTGAAATTTTGAATATAAAACTGTTTAGAATTTGTGTTAAAGTTGCATTAATTTTAACATGCAGTTTGAATCAAGTGTTCTAAATTCTTGGATTATCATTTAAACAAAATGTTTGTAATTGAGTTCACCTCAGAAGCCATAACAAGAAACTACTTTATAAAATTGGTCTCCATTTTGTTGAAAAAATAATTCTGAAAATTGTTTTGTTTTTGAAATAACATGCTTTAAGTGTGAATGTGTTATCTCCCTGCCCTATATTGAGTTGGTGTGCAGGTAATTGTAGGTCAGATTCCTGGCATACTTAGCATGTTACTACACAGGACACTTTAGTAATTGGAGCGTTTTACAAAGTACAAAACAGTAATAAAATGTCCCCTCAAGGCGGGTTACCTGAAAACTAGAACTACTTATCCTGTAAACTCAATTTGAAAATATTTACGAACACTTGATGCACAAGAAGTGGTGATGGAGATTGCTTCCACTACTACCCCTTTGCAATTTTCAAGTTTGACTTCAAAAGTTTCATGTTTTCTACTCATTGCACAGATGAAGATTGTGTAGGCAATGATCACTATTTGAAAATGTTTTTTCACTTGGACATGTATACATCTTTAATATTTCATAATCAGTACACTAGAAAATTTCAGGTCACTGGCCAATGTTAGTTTTGCAAGTTTGCAAAGTAGCTAAGCGAGTTGATTTTTAAAGCAAACTAAATTCGTTAGTAGCCAACTTAAATAAAACTATTCTACCAGGCGAGTTGATGAGGTTGTCAGATTTGTACTTGTACAGGAATAAACTGATTTGGTGTTCACAGTACAGCTGCCTGATCGATTCACAAACTATCGCTTGTTGGCCACAGTAGCCTGTACGACAATTTAGAAAGAATTTTATATTTGAAAGTGAAGTCAGTGTGACATTTAGCATCTCTGGTATCAGTTTGATTTATGACAATGTCAGTTTAATGAATTTAGAGCCATGTCATTTTAATTGCAAGACAAGGTAGTAAAAATAGTAAATTACAGTTGTAAAAAGTGGATGGTACGTAGTTAAAAAAGGACTCCTAAAATAGTAGTTTTAACTCTTAAAAATGCAATAGTTGGTGTAAGCGGTAAAATAAATAAGGCAACCTGGCTGGTTGCCTCATCTTGGATTTTTCTGAACATCACCTTGACATATTTGAAATATGCAATTAATGTTGGGTTATTTGCTGCAGGTAGGCACCCAGGCATTTAGGCACCCAAGTCTAAATTTCATGTGGTTTGGGGCAAGTTTACTAGTGTGCTTGACCCCATTGTGCAGTATGGCAGTTTACCAGAGTGCTTTGTTACGACCGGAAGAAATTTGTCTGAGTGTCACAACTGAACAGTGTTAATGTATCTTATTATTCACCCATTTATCATGTCAAAAGGGATCCCTGGCAACTTTCCCACCTTTCTCTGTGACAGCATCTAGGGACTAGAGTTGGGGAAATCCTCAAATGTCTACTTTAGAGTCTTATAAAAGCA